ACTGACGTTCGCTTCACTGTATTACGTTGTACAATGATGAGGAAGATGATGTGCATTTCTTCATGTCTCGTTTTCACATCATCCGTTAACCTCCACGCGGTTTCTTCCAACGTGGANTGGAGCCGCAACTGCGGATAAGACGCAATGCGGTAGACGACAGGTGGGCATGCGCAACACGTATCCTAACCAGCGAGGCCGATTATTCTGAATTCGATGGGACAACGAATTCTCCATCGAATCATTACCAGGGTCGTTTACACGCTCGATTCATCCACCCCGCGCCTAACTAGGTAAACATCGGCAGTCGAAAACTTCAAGACGACGAATATCTTCCACGCGCAAATTTAGGGTCTCACAACCATAAAGCAGAACTGATCACACAAATGCCCAGTATACACAACCAGTTTCAACGAAAAATCACGTCTGCATCGAAGGTGTTTCAGTCCTGCGTAAGCTGCTCGAGCTTTGGAAATGCGGGCGGTTACTTCATTGACTATGCTACCGTCATTTGTAACGCAGTAAAGAAGTAGGAGGAACATTCTACACAGCTAATTCCTGACCATCACGCATCAGCGCTGAGGTAGACAACACCCAGTCTTGTAGTATAACCTTGCCCTTTGAAGGTGAAAAGCGCATGTCTAACACAGCTACAGAACCTGAAAGTCTGTCAGGAGCGTTTTGCGCATCCTCTATACATTCGAATAGGCAAACGATGTTATCAGCGTACTCTAAATCGCGCAGCTTTTCTCCAGCTGCCCCTTTAATACCCACGTTTTGGAGACCAATAAGTGTGTTCTGAAGTATTTCACCTATGACAAAATTGAACAGGAATGGCAAAATAGGGCACCCTTGATGGACACCGCTCTTGATTTCGAACGATTTACTTAGCCCACGGAAGACCCCTACGCTACCAGAAGTATGCGGGTACAGCGACCGCAATAGGTTTACAAACATCTACAGCATTCCTTTGCGAAGCAGTGACCCCATAAGCGCTGCACGATGAACTGAATGAAAGGCTCCTTTTAGGTCAAGGAATACCGCGATTGTTGGCCGACGATGTGTGCGACGCAATTCAAGGACTTCAGGTAGAGTGAACATTCGGTAGATGCAACTGCGACCTGGTCGGAATCCGGCTTGTTGTTCGTGGATATTCATTTTTTTCGCCCGAGTTCACCACGGAAAGCGTTTTTCAGGGTTGCCCTCTCTGCTTTTTTCATCTAACTTTGTTATAGATTTGATGCTGGAAACAGCCTTATCTTCGTGCGGGGATAGTGGTATCGATTTGCGCCCAAGTGGAAGGTTGTCTGACCTAGAGTTAGCAGATGACATTGTGCTGCTAAGCGAAGATCCACGTTTTTTATTACACAACTAAATATGATGAACAGCGGACGAGGCGAACCCCATAGTCACGAGGACCTGCCGTTCAGTGGTGGAAACCGACAATCTAATCCCCGGGACTTAGACTGGCGAACCACATAAGGCCCCGATAGGTTAGGTAAGTTGCAAGCCTTTCTGGATAGATTGAGTGCCAGCGTAGCCATGTTCGGTATGCGTTCTCCACCTTCAATGTGTTAAGTGTTGATACAAAACAGGATTGGTCCAGCACCCAGCCTCACTGTAACTGTAGAAGTAATAGAGCAGGGGGATAAGTTTCGTTATTTGGGCAGCTACTTTCTCCCCGTTGGACACATCAGAGATGATGTATCAGCTCGCACACAGAAGGCTCGATTGGCATTTGCCAAATTGAGACATCTGTAGAACCGTCACGATATTTAACCATCTACGAAGGGCCGAGTGTATGCCGGGGCAATTCGGCCAGTTCTGCTAGACGGTGCAGAAACTTATCCATTAAGAGAAGAGAATAAAGGTGGACCGTCGGTGTTCGAACACCACTGTTTTCATAGCATTGCACGAATCCGGTGGGGCAGCAATTCTGAGATTACGCGCAAAGTTTTAGGTAAGTGCGGTCACCCACTGGAGCGAGTGATCGACCTCCATAGATACCGTTGGTTGGGGCATTTGCTACGCATGTCACCAAATAGATTGCCGCGGTGAGCTATGTTCGCCGAAGCAGATAGTGGGTGGGATAAAGCCAAGGGCGGTTAAGCTAAGACGAGGGTGTGAAAACCCCAATCAGGAGTCTGGGTCATATAGGTCCCGTTGGGCTCCCTGGTTGGGGACCTCGAGGCAATCGGTTCCACTTCCAACTTTCCTGTCTTCTGCTACTGTTCATCCGAATGAGCAACCAAAAAACAACAATCCAACCCGGCGCACGAAAAGTGCATGGTTAATGCTTGTACGAACTGAACTGACTTTCATCTCCATTGAGGGTGTCAGGCGGCGAAGTATCACAGAAGTCAACGCTTTTGTGATTATTGGAACTAAACTAATCCCGTAGTAGTTTGCGCAGTCGTTGAATGAGGTTGCATGGGGTTTCCGTCGCAGTAGATGGAATGACCGCATCACTGAAATATCCGGGCCAGCGATCAAGTCGTTGTTCCTTATTATGGATACCCTGTCCACTTTCATCGCGAATGGTCTCACTGACCGGAATACGACGACCTCCGGTGCTGTGTATCAAATGAAATAGTCTTTGACTATTCCGTGATGCAGAACCTACTTTCATCTCACTAGCTACTTTGGCCTACCAGTTTTCGCGATCTTTCTCAATGCCTTTCCTGAGTTGACGTTGCAGGTCCCTACGCTGATCCTGGCATATTGGGATCTTTCGCGTTTGATCTATTAGGATTACTGACCCCTGAAAAACTCAATGTCCTCGGCGAACTTCGGGCTTATTTCCACTAGCAAAGTTTGCTGCTGAGTGCATTGCAAAGCTAATCTGATCCTACTGCCGGCATACCTCTCTTGGTTGCAATTACCCTAGCTCCTGTCCCAGCATCTCCTCGCAAAGTGCGCAGACAATGACGAGCTAACATAGGGTGATTTTTGCCGATGAGTCGAAGAGTTAAGCGTAACAGAACCAGTGCATGATCCGATTCAATGCAGGTGGTCCAACAGGATCTGCAATTTTGCACTGAACAACGCCAACGGTAACGGACAGCTATGTAGTCATTTTGGGTGAACTTTCCCGTTGAACCAGAACACCATGTAGCCATTCGAGGAGATTTGTATCGAGAGGTTGTGCTAGATAAGAACCGATGATCTGCGCAGAACTGAAGTAGTCGATTACCATAGCCTGTTCGCTGGGCAGGAAGTGCAAAATGCCCTCCTAGACGGTCTTCGGATACGGTTTTCCTACCCGCGCGTCGAAAGCATACGTCAACACTATATCAGAGCTGTGGCTCAACCGAATCAGTTCGGCGAATGTCGTAAAATTCGTCCTTCTTCGAAGTGGGACTGCAGTTGGTTGGGGCATACGCAGAAATGATAAACAAACACCTAGTGGTGTTGCTGTCATTCCCAACTCTAACTGAATCCTGGAGTCTCACTGCGCACAAACGACTATTGACGGGTGTCACATCTTTCAGTGAGGCCTCAGCTTTATCGTTTGGTGCGATCCCTAAGCTACGCTGACGCAGTAAGCGAGCTTCACGTCTCCTGATGTATGAAGGAGATACTTCGAGAACAGACCGGGCACACTCAGGCGGCCTATCATACTAGGATCCTGAATTCGTCTCGGATACGCTACACTTTCCGAATACTGCACCGTACGCGCAAAGAATCCCTGTGGACCCACCTGTATGAGTCCTCCCGGTGAAGGTCCCCAGATCCAGAGGTTAACAAGGCTTCAAAATCTTCACTTCATTCAAGGGAAAACTGTTTAGTGCTATTTGGCACGTGAGGACCAAGTTGTCTGAAGGAGAGGGTTAGGTACGGAAGACGGAGAACTAAACAAAGCGTGGGATACCTGAGCAGTAACCCACTTATCACTACCCACCCTGCTCGATGTAATGGGCAGCGCGGTTCTGATTGTCCTGGGCGACGACCGATGCAATATGAAATTATTTTTAGTTTGTGTGCATTAGTTTGATGGACGGGTACTGCCTACCACTATTAGTTGAAACGTCACCCTCATTTCTTTGTACACCCGACCGACGGGCTAAATCCGGAACACCACCGACTGCCTTAGACGAACAATGTCAGAATAAGATACCATCGTAAGACTGCGGTAACTACACGGCGAGTTTGCGGCAAACCATTTTCAAACGAGAAAAAAACAAGACATTGTCGCAAATTTACGTGCTAAAATTGACCACGATCACCCGTCACTCACCATCAGCAATAACTGAAAGACAGGTTGCATCATACCTACCACCAGGACGGTAAAATAGTTATTTCGTGAACAGCCAACGGTAGGTGACGAAAATACCTTCAGTCGATGCAGCTTTAGACGACCCTGCGTAAATTATTCAATTCAACTACACGCTTGTGAGGTGAACAAAAGTGATCAGCTCTACATTGAGGTCCAGACCCGCGAATTCTCAAGCGGAAAACGATTGGCAGCTCAATGAGGCTCTAAAAGACAAAACTTGGGAGATAATGGGTGACCCTCCAGGTGCGAATAAACTGTTCAGAATGCCGTATCGGTAACCAAATTAGTCTGACATTTACAAATGACAAAAAATTGGCGAAGTGCTTGGAATCTGAATGAACCACGATGACACCGTATATACCAGAAGGCCAGTTGGCCGACATTACTTTTCCTAAGTGATATTCATACGGGAAACCGTACAGCTGGATGACTTAGAAAACCTGCTGGCACAAGATGTGATAATGCTGAAACAATAGGTTACTTAATTATTGGCAATGTTTGGCACAATAAATCGAATAATAAAAGTCGACAACGAAAAGTCCAAGGCATTCGGACAGTAGTCAATGCGTGGATGGGATCCAGTTCCCTTATGCTTACGACGTTGCATGAAAATCAGTCCCTAGAACACACTGCACTGCACCATACCCATCACAAGCACATGCCGATCGAAGAAATGAAAACACAAGTGTTCCTCAAACTGTCATTTTATTAAGTTCACAAGACCCACTCAGGGAACTCAATTTGTACATCCTTTCCGGTGAGTTTCTTGTATAAACCGGTGATCGTCTTCAGCTAAAAAGTGAATGAAGTTTATATCAGCGACAGATTACCTTATGCTCAATGTAGTTACGTTGGGCAACGTCTAAGTGACACTTGATGATCGTGCTTCCATCAACACGAACTTGAGTACGTTTTCCTACAATTTCCGCAGGATAA